ATCAATATGCCGGTACTGGACGACCTGCAGCTCATATGGTTCAGAGTAATGGAGCTGGAATTCTTCCTTTGCCTAGTACATCAAGCAACTGCATCACTCTGACAGGATCAGAATATGAAGAATATGCCCAATTCCAGGCAGCAAAACAACAAGCTCAACAACAGTCACCTAGTCTACAATACTCTAGCACTTCAGTTGCTTGTTTGTCTTAGTCCTCAACTGGTACTCCTTGGATACTTGATTCCGGCGCTTCGATCACATTTTTGGTAATGAAACATTGTTCTCTACTCTCATTCCTACTCTAGACTCATCCACAGTCACCTTAGCTAATGGTTCAGAAACTAAAGTTAAAGGCATTGGGACAGTTTAACTTATTCCATCAGTAACTTTACAATCTGTCTTACAGCTAATTACAACTAATTACAGCTAATTACAGCTAATTACAGCTAAATACAGCAGCTAATCATAACACTCCCCCTCAAGCTGGAGCATACATGTTGTCATAACATGTTGTATGTTCGCTAACTGCGACCGAATATATTCAATTCAATGGTCTCGTTAAAAGATCTTGTTTATTATTTGCCAATTGACCTCTACTCGAAACTGACAAAGGAAGTAGAATATGCATCGCTGCATCAAGCATATTGTTTGATGAAATGACCAATCGATCTCAATAATGTTTCGTTCTTATCATGAAACATGGATTGACGGCAAGTATAGAGTGCTGCTTGAATTGTCATAACATATCAGTAGTCATCTATTTTATTTCTCCACACTTCAACTCTTGAAGTTGCTTGACCAAAACAAGTACACAAGTGGCTAATGCCCAGGGCGTCCGATCTCTGCTTCTGCGCGTTGATACCTAAGCCACAATATGCCTGCTTTTTTACTTGTCCATGATATCAAATTTCCTTCCTCTAATCATGATTACACACTACAACCAGAGAAGTGGACCGTCTGTCAACAGGGACGAAACTGCCCAATCTGGAATCTGAATAGCCACACAGGGAGAACCTGCCCAATCTGCATCTGAATAGCCAACCACTTGTGAATGACCCTTGTTCTCATATAAAAGACCTTGCCCAGGAGTTCCTTTGATATATTTCAAAATGCGAACAACAGCATCCCAATGACTATCACATGGAGACTGAAGAAATTGACTAACCAGTCTAGGGTCAATATCTTGTCTCACCGCCTACTCCAGGAGTTGCCCCAGCTGCCGACCGGCGTTCCCTGAAAATCCGATCACTGGATTCCCTGCGCGTGGACCTCACGCGCCGATTTAATCTTCTGCTACAGTGCCACAAGCCTACACGTGGCAGTGCGTCCGGCTATTTCCGACGATCAGAAATTGCACTCTAGCTTCGTTTTTAGATTCGCAGTCTACTTAGGTGGTTGTTTCTCCAATTCGGCGAAGCTTTGGTAGGGGCGTTCTCAGTTTTGTCAATTTGACGTTTCAGGTTACATTTTTTGCTCCTGTTTGAGTTGAAAGGCTATTTTTTTTGGTATCTCTTTCTGCGTTGATTATTCTGATACTTTTTCTCCTGTCACCAAATTGTCTTCTGTTCGTTTATTTATTTCTTTAGCAGCTACTTTTGACTGGCCTTTACATCAGCTGGATGTTATATTGTGCGTTTAGCAGCTATTTTGCACTGGGCACATTTACATTCTCAGTGGATGTTGAGAGGAATGCCTTTCTTCATGGGGATCTTCAAGAGGAAGTTTACATGGAAGCAACCACCAGGCTTTGTTGCTCAGGGGAGTCAGGTAAAGTGTTAAACCTGTTTCGATAATCTCTTTTTATGCCATAAAAACAGATCCTCGAGCCTTGGTTTGGCTTAGATTGGGGACAACTGTTACATCAAGTTTGGCATGTAGAAGAGTACTTCTGATCATTCTGTATTTTATCAGAATGTACTAAAGACTGGTTTTTGATTCTAACTTATGGTTTCGTGAGTTTGAAAATGGACTATTGTTATTACAAGGAGTGATCAGCCAGCATTACCATTCACTGCAGGTTCATTTCTCCAAACTCAGTTCAGACAAAAGATGTAGGATTGTTTATATGTATTTTTTGGGGTATTGAAGGTGTCTATGTATGATGGATTTTTTGGGTATTGAAGTGTCTAGGTATATGGGAGGCATCTTCTTATCTTAAAGGAAGTATATCTCTGACTTACTGAAGGAAACTGGAAAGTTGGGTGCCAAGCCATGCAGTGCTCCAATGACTCCTAATTTGCAACTTTGAATTGATGGTGAGCTATTTTATGATCCTGAGATGTATAGAAGGTTAGTGGGCAGATTGAATTATCTTACAATAACATGTCCAGATATTGCTTACTCTGTGAGCATCTTAAGCCAGTTTATGTCTTCTCCTATTGTTATCCATTGGGAAGCATTAGGAAAGATTTAGTGCTACTTGAAAGGTAATCCAGGTTGTGGCCTACTTTACAGTAATCATGGGCATTTGGACATTGAGTGTTTTTCAGATGCGGATTGGGCAGGTTCAAAGGTTGATAGAAGATCAACTTCACAAGGTTGATAAGAACACTCAAACATCGAGGATATTGGTGCGTCTTTGTTCACCGGTGGGAAACTTTGATATCGTGGTTGAGCAAGAAACAAAATGTAGTTTCATGATCAAGGTGCTGAATCATATTATATCTCTATTATCTATCTCTATTGCTTGTTGGAATTAATTTTGGAATTCGTCAGTCTGTTTTAGAGGAAATTTGGACTTCAGTCCTCCTTTGCTGCACAAGTTATGGTTTTATGCAAATTACACTCACCAGCTGCTACTTCACATATGTGCTCAATCAAAATCCGTTAGTATCGCGATGAACGAGCAAAAAACATATCGAGATTATTCTACATTGCATTCGTTGAATAAATGATTATACAACAGCGGGAATCAGTCCTGCAAAGTTATGGTGTGATAATCAAGCTGCTCTTCACATTGCATCAAATCCAGTATTCCATGAACGAGCAAAACATATCGAGATTGATTGTCATTGCATTCGTGAAAAGATACAACAGGGTATTATCTCTACAGGGCACGTTAAAATAAGTGAACAGTTAGGAGATATCTTTACAAAAGCTCTAAATGGATGTTGAGTGGACTATCTTTGTAACAAGTTGGGCACGATTAACATCTATGCTCCAACTTGAGGGGGAGTGTTAAGGATTGGTTGTAAATAGAACTTTGTTAGAAGTTAGAGTCCTGATAGATTTATAGTATCTTGTATGTGTATATACACATGTGTCCCTATTGATGAATTAAAGTAAGAAAATATTTTTCCACATTAAATTCACAAGTATCAACTGTTACTGAGCCATCACCCATTGTCAATACCCAGAAAACACATAGAAATCAGGTCTGAAAATCCAAAAAACAACTCGAAAGCAGCCCGAAATAAGGAAAAATAGGAAAAACAACCTTGGAATTATGAGAACCAAATCAGAAAAGTAGGCTAGGTGGAGGCGCAATCCTTGGGCGAGTCTGCCGGTGTAAGCCGCTGCCGGAGTAGTGGCCAGAATCGGCATCACGCCCTGACGAGTGGGAGAAGCAGCAGGACCTTCTGGAGGCGCGTGAGCCGGCCGGATTCTGGAGTAAGGACGATCGGCCGGTGGTCTCTCTCCTCCCTCTCACCGGTTGCTGGAAGGCTTAGCCTATTCTAGGGTTTTTCTCTCTCTACTGTGTTTTTCTCTCTTTAGGGTGTGAGCTAAAAAAAGTCAGCAGGGCTCTGATACCGTGTTGAGTTTGTGTGAAGGGTGAAAATCTTTCATTCAATTGTGTAAAAAATAGTTACAATCCTATTTATAAATAAGGACTGTATGGAAATACCTAAGCTACTGTTATGGTCCCAAATTTGGATCTAGTTATGGGTCTTTGAATTAGGGGATCAGGTTTGAGATGACTATCTTAGAAGGAGTTTTCTTCCTTCTATCAAATTTTGGATACTAGTTATGGGTCTGTTGAATTAGGGATGCAGGTTTGAGATGACGTATCTTAGGAAGGAGTTTTCTATCGCTTCTAGTCCACCGCTCGCGCGACGAGAACTTATATGAGAATCTGCAATCGTCGTCTATGAGCGTCGTTAAAGAGAACGAACTCTTACACTCTTGAGGTTAGGAACTCAAAAACGCATTTTTCATAAATTCTTGCCTTACATCTTTTCCTGATATCACAACCGTTATCAAGACAACTTAGAGTAGGAAGCTAAAAGCTACCACACCACGCACGTAACTAACCCCCATTACACTAAGTTTTACTTGCGTCTAACCACCCCACTAATAAAGCCAACTAACAAAGAAACTGATAATAACATGAGATAAAAGCACTGAATTAATAAAATGAAAAAACCCTAAAGTGCAAGTAAAACTATACGTCTAAAAGTGAAGCACCAGCCCATAACAGTTTAACACGCGGTAAGAGACTAAGACCTAGCCTAAACATCCACACAATATACCCAAGAGCACAATGCTACCATACAGCCGGACAACCCCGAACGAGAGAGGAAGAGCTCGTTAAGAGAGAACTCTACAATCTGAGTTTTAGGAACTCAAAACATTTTCATAAAATTCTGCTTACATTTTTCCTGATATCACAACCTTTCAAACAACTAAATGTAAAGCTAAAACTACCCACCACCCACTAATAAACCCATTACACTAAGTTACTTGCTTAACCACCCCACTAATAGCCACTAACAAAGAAACTGATAATAACATGATAAACACTGAATAACTAAATAAAAACACCCTAAATAGCAGTAAAACTACCCTAAGTAAAGCACCACCATAACAGTTTACACTTAAGACTAGACTACTAACATACACAACTATACAAGACAATGCTCCATCAGCCGGACAACGAACAGAGAGGAAATTAAATAACTTCATGAAAAATTTTCATAGTAATTGACTAATTATGTGAAGAAAGCCAAGGACATGAACCCAACTAAAAACACTTCCTAGAACAAAAATATATATCAACTTACATCTAAGAAGCAAGCTTTCATCTGCTGCAAGCAAGTTTCCAAAACTTCAGTTTTACTTTTATGGCCCATGCTAACTCTTCTCATATCACCCTCCATTGTTGATCTAAGATTTGGTTTCCAAAGTTCATACCTGCAAAGGACAGACTCCCCAGTGAATAACAAAGTAACAAGAGAATATCTACTTTAAGAGACGATTGCAAATTGTAAATCATATGATATTAAGCATATGAAAATTATTCAAATTATGCGTCATTTTCCATGAATTTTGCTACTTCTTGGAAACTTTGACATCTAATTAAATAAGGATGGCAATTTGACGGATTTGTCAACGAAAACAGCACCTCAGTTCGAAAAGATACAAATGATTAATTAGTCTATGGGACATTTATTATTTTTACACCCAATGATGTAGTTTTTTTAACTCCACATTCAATCCTACGCTATTCCACGACAAAAATCATATCTATGACTTTTCCATAGCTAGTGCAAGTACAATTCGAACATATGGCAAAATTATGGTGTGTAATATAGTTATTATGCCATTGTTGCTGCTTGTCAATAATTTGTTTACTACCAGAAAATGTCCGCACGCTTTTTCATTTACCCCACAAAACAAATTAAAAATCACATAACAGCTTTTGCACCATTAAAGACAATTGATATACAATTACAACTATAGTTCTCCAAAATGCAATTATAGCTATCTTTATAGGTCCATGTCTACGTTAACTGTTGGTGAAGACAATGCCTGTTGTTTTTGTGCTTAACATATACACATATTATTACAGATTTTTAAATTTCTGTGGTGAATCATATACGTAGATATACTTGATTTCTCACAAAGGACTATTGTCTACTGCAAAGCTGGTTATACTAAACAGCTAAGCAAAAGTGTATGCCTGCAAGTCCAGCTCCATGCAACAAAGAAGTCGAAGTTACAATCATACATGCAGCCTTTAGCAGGATGGACAATTGGTATAACAAAATATTAGAAACATTGTTCACCAATTCCATTTGACTATTTACAGAATGTATAACATGATATCCATGTCGCCTAATAGAAAGCCTAATATGCAACTCAAACAATAATGGTGACCAGCTGATTAGAAGCAAAAGTCCATCCCAATAACAACTTTGAAAGAAGAGTAAGTTTTCATTCCATAGTCATAAATGAAGTGAATTACTTACCCCATGTCATCATATCCCATAACTAGAGCCTCGCCCTGCAGTTATGTAAACTTAATAATTAATAAAGAAAATTTTGAATAGAAAAGCTCAAACATCATCTCATAGCAACCTTCTGTCTCTGACTAACAAAGACAGGCTTCACTGTGTGATTCTGAAGAAAGAGTAATGGGCAACTCAATAGTGAAAGTGTAGCAACTGGAAGATCTAGGAGAAGCAAGATGAAAGATCAATAAATTTACTTTTTGGCTAGATCGTCTCAGGCCTCATGGACTATAGAATATACCCTAGTCATAGTTCAATTTCATAGTCATAAATTGATTTTTCAATATTACAACCAAACAATAGGAAGTAAGTTATTTTCTCAAAAAAATTTTCCTTTGAAAATATTTCCAGAGAGAGAAATTGTTTCCCGTGGAATAAACAGAGCCTTGATAAGAAGTACTATAATAGTCAAGCAAAACTCTAATTCAGAAATTGAATTTTATAACAATTAGAACTTCCATAAGTTTATAATTTTCAAGTCTAAAGTACCTATATTTGCCATACTTTACTATCTGTTATTTGCTGAACAAGACGTCTGGTAATGTATGCTTCTTAAACTTGTATTTCATGCAATTCCAACCTAGAAAGTGTAAAGATTTCTTATAGGAGAGAATTCTAATACCGATTAGTATAACGCTAGCTGATCCTAATTTACATAACTTCGTGCAAAATTTCTTGAAAAAATAAATCAATTGTCTTATTCTCTAAGCTCTAATTCTGTGAACCTTATGGATCCTAATCCCAATTTCAATGGAACGAGCTTTTCCCTTTGTCCTACTTTAAAAACATTTTGCCAGATTTAAAATGAAGCTTTTACATTGCTTAAGAAAAAACCTTTTTAGTAGCCTTCTAAGCATGTTAGAAAAATCAAAGAGAACATAAGTAATTGGTAGAGCAAACATCATCTAAAAATACGAATATAGATACAAACATATTAAAAGCCAAATTAGTCACAACTAAAAACCAGTCATAATTGCAGCAATATGGAACCAAAGTTGCGATGAAGCCAAGATAACATATCTGGCGTGATTCCAACATCCAGTGCAGAAGTTGCTTCTAACATCAGTTGTGCAAAATGATTAATATCATTTATTGCATCTACTGAATTTTATATGTAAGCTTCACTAACAACATTAAATATATTCTAAGAAAAAATCACTTTGAAAATTTATCTTTTAATTGTTTGCATTTATATCTTTATTTATTCTTTAACAAAACTTCTTTATCATAAAAAATTAAAAAATAAAAACAAAATTGAATGCACAAGCAATAAATACCATACTCATATTACATAACGATCCAATAAAAAATCAATAGTTTGTGATATAAGAAGACACTAACATAAAAAGTTGTCTAGAGCTCTAGATAACCTTGCTACAATTCAGTTCTAACATTTTGCTTTTTTCACTATCCCAAATCCCGATCACATTATACTTTTGCCACATGTAAACTCATGAAATAGGCAACTGAAGTAAATAATCAGTTAAAAAAAAAATGTGAACACACTCATGTTTGTGTATAACATAGAAAGTTAGAGCAGGGCTAATTACAAGATTAGTTGGTGAGAAACGAGTGTTTGGATCCTTTGTTGCATAGAATCTATCAAGCAGCTTCTTTATGTGGTCATGCATTGTTGCATCTGTACCAATGCCCGCCTTATAAACACAGGAAAAAAAAAAGTGATTTAAAATCATGTTAGGTGCCTAAAAAACTGTTGACTTAGAGAACAGTTGTATACATTCTTTTTCCAACTTCTATATCTGATTTTAATTTTGCACTGCAGGGAAAAAGAAAACAAAAGCACCCCAGCTTTCTTTTTGTTTTACACCATTTTTCATATCATTCGACTGGTTGTGTTTGTAGTGAAAAATGTCTCAGAATATGTTTCTTTAATTAAAATATGAGGGTGGTAAGGATGGACATTGTTCTGTTATAACAAAAAACCAAAAAGAACCAGAAAATTTTGATTATCATGATTTAGTGAATTTGTTTTCTGTTTAATTTTATTAACATTTTCATAATTTTCTGGTATCGTTATCAATTTGATTGCTTCATAATTGAAATCAAAATAGTTGATGCTTATTGTTAATAATATAAATTAATTATTTTTATTAGCAATAAATAAATTAAGATCTTTTATAAAAACTATATAAAAAAAAATATATCAGCTTGATTGTGTTCAATTCAGTTGAATTAGAACTATTAGAGTTTTGAAATTTTTGGTCAATGGCTAGTTGATTCAGTCAACCAAATGAGCATCCCTGGGTGGCAACTGGTCATATGAGATTATGGTATTGACAATTGTAATGGGATGATGTAGGCAGTAGGTGAAGACAACAGCAGTAATTGTAGAATGTGATGACAAGGCTGAAAGCAATGATGACACCAACTGCTGTCATAGCTGGGTCAATGGCAAAAGCAAAGATAATGGCGTTGATGTTAACAAAGAGTGTGGCAATGAGGCATTAGCAGTACTAATAAAGTGTAGACTATTGACAACAACTAGACGGTTATGGTCTTAGGGCCAACAAAGAGTGCAAAGTAGTGCAAACATTAATAATGGAATCGTCAATTTTAGCATTGCGGTGGTGGTGCAAAGTGGATGATGGATAGTATGGTGAAAAGTTGTACAATATATGTATGCTTTCAACTAGAAAACAAGTGAAATCCATAGAAGCAAACGGCAGATAATCAGGCTTTACCTATTTTTCAGTATTGGTGTAATTTCTGTAGTATTATGCTCTGTTTGTTTCCGTAAAATAACATATAGGAAAACATTTTTCATAATTTTCTGTTGTTTGGGCGTTTAAGAAAATAAGTCAACGGAAAATATTTTTCTGGTCAAAGGAAAATGACTTCCCATTTTCAAGAATAAAATATTTTCCGAAAATTGACAAATTTATTATAACCTCATAAATCTGTATCTTTAATTTATTAATCATCGGTAGCCAACCACCAGTTACCGTTCACCACCGGCCACCACCACCGGCAACAACGTCAACGTCACCGGTGACTTTCATAATTTACCTTTTTTTTTTTTTTTGCGTTTAGGGGGAAAAAATAAGTCTAAGACCCAGGGAAAAGATTTTTTTCTGGTCAATAGGAAATAACTTCCCATTTTCAAGAATAAATAATTTCCCGAAAAATGTGACAAATTTATTATAAACCTCATAAAGTCTGTATCTTTAATTTATTAATCATCGGTATGCGCCATATCCACCAGTTACCGTTCACCGCACCGGCCACCTACCACCACGGCAACAACGTCACAGTCACCGGTGACTTTTCCATAATTTTAGCTCTTTTTTTTTTTTTTTGCATTCCTGAGTGAATATTTTAACAATAAAAATTTTTAAAAAATTCTCATATTTAACAATAAAATTTTAAAAAATACGAAACTTCTATTATTATTAATATTTTTATGTTCTTATGAGTTAAAAATTTTAATATTTTAAACTAATTTTCAATATTGCAATGAAAGAACCGAAAATAAGTCATTTGGAAAATATTATCCAAGGAAAACATTTTTCCAAAGGTAAGTTATTTTCCGGAAACAAACGAAGCCTTAATGTGAATTTGGAAAGCAGTTTTCTAGGGAATCAGAAAATTAACACATTTGACCAAAAAAACTCTATCTTCCAATTTGTGGAAAAAATTTCAGAAAGTAGTCCTGGCTGTTATAAGTAATCAGGCCCATGTAAACTAGTATACTGGAGAGAGAGTACCGGAAAAAAAGGCAGCAGAATATGAAAAAACTCTTTATCAAAACCCATTTTCTCACCTTGTCCATACAGCTAAGCAAATCAGCTTCACTTAAAAGAGGCGGTGGTCTCGTAACTCCTGAATCAAGAGTCAGCGTTGTTGGGATAAACTGCAATATGGTCAAAACCAGAGGATCAATTTTAAGTTTCTGGTTGTATAATTGACTCTACGAAAGAGAGAAAATGTTAACCTCAAAGTTTAGTCAAAGCACCATTATAAAACAATTATATTTGAGTTTTCAATGATGAACAGATTTTCCAGACAGCATATCATAAATTATTAATCCCGTCGTGAAAAAGGAGCACTCTTGGCTGCTCAAACTTAAAATCAAAAGGACAAGGATGAGGTATCAAATATATCTGAACAGAGGAGAAATTTTAAAAAGGGAAAAAAGGAAAGAAAGAAAGAACAGCTCTAAACAAACTTACAATGTCTTCAAATATAAACCAAAAATTATTGTCATTAACTGCAACTTCTATTTCCAACCAATGTCTACTCCTACTTCTGTGGCGATTCTTTTTCTGAAACAAACTAGACGTCCATGGTGCCAGTTCTTGGCGTTTACCTTCTCATTTAAATTGTTGGTTTACAAAATCTTATTTATTTTGTGCGACTGCTTTCTGCTGAAAGTGACAGGACTAAATATTCAGCAAATAGCCTCTTTAATTCAACAAGTCAACAAATATAAGCTTCATGATCAAATTCCCATCTTTGTACTGCTAAACCAATAGTAAAGCCTTCTAGTGTGCACAAATCCAGATCAGGATTTGTCCCAATAGAAGTGTGGAAATTAAATTGCAAACTGTGGTTGACAAAGTAGATTAACATTCAGAAGAATTGTATAATATAGAATGCCAAACATGCAAGCCAAATAGTTATTTCCATCAACACAAGTTACCAAGGGCTTTGCCAGATTCTTAGTTGCCATTGTATGATGAATGATATAACAATACATATTGAGTGAGGCAAGCGCATTTATTACTTCATATAGCCATTAAAGTGTAAACCTAGAAAAACCTAACTGAAGAAAAAAAAAAAAAAAAAAATGCAAGAAATTCTAGTTTGCACATTGTATGATGAATGATATAGACAAACTACATATTGAGTGAGCCCAAGCGCATTTATACTGTACAATATAAGCGAGCTAAAGTGTAAACCAGTTACGAAAACCTGACTGTAGCTGAAGAAAAAAAAAAAAAACTGGAGGTAGATTCACACATTGAACGATTAAATCAAAATTTACAAACCACTCCCCCCCCGCGTGGCCGCCCACCCCAAAAAAAAGATAAAGAACAAAAAAAAAAAGACCAAAAGAAGTTCCGGCTAATGCAGGCGAAATAATAAAAAAAAAAAAAAAAAAAAAAACAAAAGAAGTTCCGGCAATCAGGAAATAATTAGCTCAATAAAGAATAGTCAACCAATCACTATTTGATGATCAGTATCAAACCTGTTCTCCATGAAGATATGTAGGAATCATTGAGCCACCCCATGATTCAAAGCGGTAAACATCCAGGTAATTTTTCTGGTAAAAACACAATACAATTGCATCAAATATAAATAACCATAGTGTGAAAAACAAAATCAAATGAGAAATTTGTTTTACAAGAAACATAATTTATTTATACAAGATATACCAAAGCAATGGTTCCACAAAAACGAGTTAGAGTGCGAAATCATGTCTGTCTTGATTGTGTTAGTCTTCAGTCAGAAGAAAAGAAACACACATGTAGATAGACAAGCCCAAAGCTCAAGTGAGTAGCTAAGTCAGCTATTTGGACCAAAGGTTGAATAATTCCTGCAGTTTCGAGTCGTCAAGTGTATAAGATCAGAATGGACAATTACATGGTGCAATGAGGGTTGTCTGCTGGGGCTTGCAAGCACGATGCTGCAGATTCATAACCATGTCCTTGGAGCAATCACCGGATGCAATGAAGGGTCAATCACCGGATACAAAGAATTAATCATGACACCTGGCTAACACTGGCTATCATTCTTGGGCCCTTGTCTTTTGTGCTTTGACCATAGATGGGGTTATCAAAAAGCTAAAGCTTCGAGGGCACAGATTCTAGGGGTGAATTCGGTTATAACCGAACCGAAACTAAGGAAGTTCAGTTATTTAGGCAGAGAAAATTTTGGTTTCAGTTTGGTTATTATTTTGAAATTTTTCGTTTTTCAGTTATACTACCTCAAGAATTGCAACCAAAATAACTGATTTATTAGTTATTAATATGTTATTATTTTATACTATTTTATAATGATCTTTAATTAATGAATATATTATTTCTATTATTTTTATTATGTATATAATTGTAATCATACTTTTTAATAATATATGAATTGGTAATATAAGTACTGTAAATTAAAATATCCAGTGATAAACAAACACTGACCAAAAGATATTTAAGTTTAGTTAGATTTGATTGTCTAATAAATTCAATTAATGTTTAAAAGGGAACTAAAAAAATTTGGTTAGTTGTAAAATTCAGTTCGGTTTATTTCAGTTATCCAAATGCACAACCCTACCAGAGTATATGGGTTTCTAGATAAATAGAATAAATGAAAAACACACATTGCCATTTTAGCAATGGAAGGAGGAAACCAAAGCAAATCTAATTTAGATGGTGCATAGGTCAATGCAAACTACAAAGATTCTATAAAAAATTTTCAAGAACTCAAACAGCAAAACATCAAAATGGGAATGACAATAAGTGTTTAATGATCAATGATAAGCAATAAAAAATATTACTTGATATAGCTTATAAGAATCTGAGAATGATGCAGGATACCCACAGCTAATATCACCCTCCCTGATGCAGAAAACTGTTCTCCAGCAATGTCTATTTCAACGGTAGTTTCAGCCCCTATAGCTGGTTGTGAAACACAAGCCAGAAAATGGCGAACAACCAACTCATATACTCTCTGCAAATAATAGAAGTATGAATTTCAAGAATGCAGTTAAAACCCATAATCCCTAATCTTAACCAAAACAGAATCGTCAAGAAAATATTGATGAAATGCATTTTTAAGAGCGGAAGCAACAAATATACTTACGTGATGATCTTGACTCCATCCAGTTTCACCAGCAGAAAATTTTGTCGGGTGAATGGGTGGGTGGGCTTTATCATCATGTCCACCACTACTGGGGTTTCGCCATAATCCTTCTCCATGATCTAACAGCCTTTGAGCATATGAACCCCATATAGGATGTGGTTGTTGTTCTTGCACAATTGTCTGCATCAGTTTTAGAGGAGTTATCTAAGTCCAAGCAACTTGGCACATTCACAAAGTTGCAGCTTGAAAATTAAAGCATAGAGATAACAAGGAAAAAGACCATTAGCAATCACGTGCAAAAATATAAAATATACTAAACATTAATATAAACAAAAATGAGAAATTAATGGTGCAACAAATCGGCACAGAGAAAAACACCATCTTTTTGAAAAGAATCAACGATATCATCATGGGCTAAAAAAAATTAAACAAGCAAAAATATTTATACTCATAAAAGCTAGAATGTCATAATAAACCAAAACCTTAACAAGTTGCAAAATGCAAATTTGTCTAGAACTCCTTTTAGATTCAACATAAAAAGGAGTCTCCATGTATTCCACCACCATACTGCCTTTGACTTCCTCATTCCACCATATACTTCTTTTGAGGACAGCTCCCAACCTTTTGACTCACCCAAAACTTCCACTACCATCTTACTACCTAAGTTGATAACTCCATCCACATGGTGTTTGCCTCCACGTTATAATCTTGCCTTTAGATCTCACTTGTGAAAGCCACTTGCTTTTCTCATTTTAAGTTCCAACAACTTTGTTATCCCACATTAGTTTGGATAAGGTCTTTAGTCAACATATAAGGCTTGGCAATCCTCCTCCCCAGCTCCCCTTGAGCTAGCTTTTAGAGAGTAAGTTAGGCCCAGTCCATTTTATAAACATGGTATAAGGCCTACCTTGCTTCAATATTGGGCTACTCGCGTCTGTGTTTGTTTGCAAACTTCACAATCCAGATGTTCATGCCTGGGCGTGAGGGGTTGTATTATCTCATATTGGTTTGGGATAAGATCTTTAGTCAACATATAAGATAGATTCTCCTCCCCTTAAGCTAGCTTTTAGGGAGTGAATTAAGCTCGGTCCATTTTATTAAGAGGATGTATATATGTGAATGGTGTTATAGCTTGGGGCTTTCCCTATTATAGGTTTTTAGGAGGGTCAAAGTTACATAGCCTTTCCTCATGTTGCAAAGAGCCTCTATATATGATTTAAATTGTGATCTCTAGTTCATAATGGAGTAACCTTACTATTATGTTGGGGCTTACCCTTTAGGTCACAATGTGTGTGTACACAACTTAAAATTATATGGTTTTTGAGGTGCTTCTCTTTCATGGAATTAGATTTCAAATCCTAGTAGAATTTTTAAATCAATTTACCTCTAAAAGACCAATTTAACATTGTTGTCCTTGCACTCTTCAAGTTCTTTTTTTCTTGGACATTTCAGATTTTCGGTTTGTATGGAATTCCCTTCTAATGGTATTGCATTTGATAATGGAAATGCCAATGATTTGTTACTGTTACAACATTACTCCATTAGTATGCTGAGATTCTATACTATTCTAAATGGTTTCTAAGTGGCTGTTTAGATTGATATTCTGTCATTTGGTTGGAAAATAAAATCCATGAATTTGAAGGGTGTTTCTGAAATAAAATTAAGTGGTTTAACTTCCATCATTAATAGATGAAGAATTCAGAGAAGGTTTGAAGTTTTTGCTTGATTATTCCCTCAACCATATTAGGTATAAATAGAATAAAGAACCAATACAAGTATGGTAAGTCAACTTTACAAATCCTAATCACAATCACAGCTATAATTATAGAATATTTACAAGATATTCTAACCTTAGTTACAATGTATTCTAACACTCCTCAAGTTGGAACGTACATATCATATGCTCCTAGCTTGTGATAAATATATTCAATCTGAGGACCTCTAAAAGATTTCTGCCAACTGATCATTCAAATTGACGAAGGAGGTAAAGATACAACCTGACTCAATCTTCTGCCTAATAAAGTGACAATTTATTTCCAAATGTTTCATTCTTTCATGAAACAATTTGAAGCAAAATGCAGTGATGCTTGATTGTCACACATTAGTTTCATTTGTTTCACTTCGCCACACTTCAACTCCTGAAGAATTTGTTTTAGCCAAATAAGTTCACAAGTAGCCAATGACATGGCTTGATATTCCACTTCTGCACTTGATCTAGCCACAAGATCTTGCTCTTTGCTTTTCCAAGATATTAGATTCCCTCCAATCATAACACAATAGCCTGAAGTAGATCATCTATCAGATAGAAAGCCTGCCAATCTACATTAGAGTAGCCAACTACCTGTGTATGTCTTTGTCTTCATAGAATGATCCTTGCCCAGGGGTACTGACGTACCTCAGAATGCGAACAACAGCATCCCAATGGCTATCACACGGAGACTGGAGAAATTGGTTAATCACACTTACTGTAAAAGAAATATCTAGTCATGTGATTATGAGATAATTAACCTTACCAACAAGTCTCCTATATCTGCTAGAATCTTTAAATGGCTCCCTCTGTCCTGGAACAAGTTTCACATTAAGATCCATTGGAGTATCCACAAGTTTGCAGTTTATCATGCTAGCCTCTTCTAGTATATCTAGTGCATACTTCCTCTCTAAACTTGCAACACTTGTCTTAGATTTTGCTACCTCTATCCCCAGAAAGAATTTCAGTTTTCCCAAGTTTTTGGTTTGAAAATGGCTAAATAGGTGTTTCTTAAGGTGGGATATCTCTTCATGATCATTGCCTACTATGACAATGTCATCCACATAGACCACTAAGTAAATATATTTACCATGATCTCAATTTCGGTGAAAAACTGAATGATTTGCTTCACTTCGACTCATGCCAAACTGTTGAACAACAACACTAAACCTCCAAACCATGCACGTGGAGATTACTTCAAGCCATACAGAGATCGACATAGTCGACATATCAAATCAGACTCCCTTTGAGCAACAAAACAAGTGGTTGGCTCTATATATACTTCTTCAGCCAACTCCCCATGTAGGAAAGCATTTTTAATATCAAGTTGATGAAGAGGCTACTGAGAAAAAGCTGCTGGAGAGAGAAATCGAACATAAGCAATCTTTGCCACTGGTGAAAAAGTACCATTGTTGTCAAGACCATAAATTTGTGTACCCCTTGGCTACAAGCCTAGCTCTCAAACGGTCAATTTTGCCATCAAGATCAACGTTGACGGTGTAAATCCAACGGCATCCAACGGTACTTTTAAAAGGAGGCAATGGAACAAGTTTCTAGGTGCCATTATTCTGAAGAGTAGTCATCTCTGCAGTCATAGTTGTAGACCAACCAGGATGGGCAAGTGCTTCACTGACATTTTTAGGTATAGAAACAGCAGACAAGGTGGAAACAAAGGCATAATAGGTAGGAGATAAATGATGATGACTCAAGAAATTGTAAATAGGATTTGGATTGCAAGTGGAACAAACACCTTTTCGAAGAGCAATGGAAGGAGTAACTGCCTCTGTGAAAGGCATGATTGGTGTAGGAGGTGAAACCAGTATAAGAGGTGATTCACTAGGTTTTGTACCTGTATCCAAAACAAGGTTAGTAGGAGGACAACGAGAATAAGCTTGAAGTGGTTGAGATGTAGCTGGAATTGGAAGGACTTCAGAAACTGAGTGCTGATGAGTTAGTTGACTTCAAAAGGAAGGTGTAGTCTCGAAAAACATCTGCATAGACAAAATGTAGAAGAGATTGGGTCATAACATTTGTATCCTTTTTGTAGACGAGAATAACCCAGGAAGACACATTTAATGGACTTAGGCTAGAGTTTATCTTTCCCAGAAGTATGGTCATGAATAAAACAATTATAGTGAAAGACATGGGAAGGAAGACGAGATGGATCCTATTTAGGAAACAAAATAGAATGAGGACTCTGATTTTGAAAGATAGAAGAAGGCATCCTATTAATAAGAAAACAAGTAGCAAGAACTGCATCCCCAAAAGAAAAGAAGTGGAACATGATTGTGAAGAAGTAAAGTACAAATTGTTTCAATGAGATGGCGATTCTTTCGTTCAGCGATTCCATTTTGTTATGGTGTATATACACGAGAAGGCTAATGAAGGATGCCCTAAGAAGACATAAACACATTAAATGGTTGAGAAAAATATTCTCGAGCATTATCACTATGTAATGCTTTAATTTAAACATCAAACTGATTTTGAATCTCAACACAAAATTTTTCGAAGATGGAGAATGATTCAGATTGATTTTTCGTTAGAAACAACCAAGTGCAACGGGAATAGTCATCATTAAAAGTAACAAAATAATTAAATCCTAAAGTTGTAATGACACGACTAGGACCCCAAACATATGAATGAACAATATCAATTGAAGCTTTATTATTGACACACTTAGGAAAAACAACACGAGATTGTTTCCCAATTTGACATGACTCACACTCTAAAACAGTTGATGAAGACAAACTAGGAACTAAATGTTGAAGTTTGGTAAGACTGTACGTCCGAATCGGTTGTGAAGAAGTTCAACTAAAACAGTAGAAGCTAAAGCAAGAGTGATTTTGGGACTGGAGAGATAATATAGCCCTTGTGACTCATATCCATCTCCAATCATCTTCCATGTACGTTGTTCTTGCTAGGGCTGTGCATGGTTCCTGGGGATTTGAACCGAAGCGAGGAACCATACTAAACCGAACCGAAACCGAAAAAACTGAGATAGTAGGAGCTGAACCGTGCCCAACTATATGCAATTTATTATTTTGGTTCTGGTTCCGATTCTTATAAAGAACCGTACCAAAACCGAATTGAACCGAACCAAAAACCCGATTTATCCATATATTTTTTCTTTATTGTTTCAGTATATTATATTATTTGTAGAAGACCCTAAATTTTATTATTTGAAAATAAAATCCTTATCAGTTGATACTCTTTAATTAATAATACAAATGGAGTATAAATTAAAATTTTTTATCCCGCATAAAAAATTAATATCTAACGATTCTCGTCATCTCTTATTGTATATAATATTTTAACAATATCATAATTCATAAATATTTATATAATATTTTACTATATAATTTAAATAAAAAGTGTTTTTTATATTATTTTAATTTAAAAAGTCTTAATTTACTAACAAATTAATCGTGTGGCA